AATCATTAATTACTTTTCCAATAGCTTTAAAATAAATTTCATCTTAATATGAAACGTACCCAAATGAATAAATATTTAATGAATGAATAAATAGTAATATCTGCGAGTGCTAAATTATATGTTACTTGCATGTACTCTTGATTTATCTCTTGCAATACAGACATACATTGCTCCATAGTTGCCAGAACAATAGAGTAACTTGTTGGTGAGTCATTAATTGGTGTTAAATGCGAAATTATTTGGCATGAACAATCATCTGTCGTAATTTTACTATTGAAAATAGTCCACATTGGAGTATTTGGTAAGCTAAAAGTATGACTCCAAATATTGTCAATTCGATCGTAAAGATTCTTAGGAACAATTTTATTAGTATCTTCCGCGAGTTCACTTAGAGTATTAAAGATAAAAATTCAGAAACCATTGGTGGTGTTGCACATTCACCTTTATCAGTCGTTCACTTGTCAATAAATAAGGTAATTTCCTCCTAATTAATTTATCACTGAATTTATTATTTTTTGTTCAAGAAGGTATTACGGCGTCAATATGGACTTTTCGTCTAAGACTCCATTCAATTCTTTGAACATATCTAAGTATTCATTATGCAAATATGTTAAAAAGTAACAACCTTCTTTCTTTTATTTGCATACATATTTCTTCATAAATAGTGTCATGAATTTTTCAAAATGTGCCATGAAGTACAAACAGAAATTTTCACTGATTATCTCTTTTTATTCCTAAAATTTTGCCTTAATTATTTAAGTAATATAATAGCAATCGTGATGGCTGATAATTTTGTAAGAAATGATATTAATAATATTAATCATAATAGTTAATTTATTTCAAACAGTATCCGTGATAGTTTTATTTTAATAATATAATGGCAACTGTGTCGGCTGAAAAATTTGTAAGAAATGATATTGATAATATTTCTCATGTGAAATAAATGTACATAAAATCTAATCCACCTGTTAAAATCGGTTTATATATTATAAGGCATATACTTTATATTATAGTGCAATGTCTATGATAGTGTAAGGCCTATTGTTAGGCACGTGACATATGACATATGACATTTAATGAATCGAAATTTCAGATAACTTCATGTTATTAGAACGGTAGTAAATCAAGTAGGCTTATTATTGTTTGTAATGAATAGAAAAGTCATACCTAGGTGATAGAAAAGAGATAACTATGCAAAATTTATGCTTACTGTCATGCCGAATGGTAGCTGAGTTTTTTTAACTCCACTGATGTAGATAAATATAAGCTTCTGATACTTGCGTGTGTGTATGTATTATGTATGTGTGTATGTTTGGATACAGTTTTTAGTCCACGATTTCGGGCGCACAAATCAACCGATTTGAATTGAATGATATGTATTTTATTCAAACATATATAAACGACGTCGTCTAATCTAATAACTTTTTACTTTGTTGACTGAATATTTTCATTCTTCATATGTTTAATTACGCTACGGGAAGTTTCAGCAATTTGCCGTAAGGCAGGATGTCATGCACCGCTAGTTTATTTTTTTTTTTTTGGTTATTCATACCGGGCTTTTGAAAGTTTTACGAGGTTTGTATATTTCTTTATTTCTGATTCAGTTTTGTGCTGTGTATTAAATTGTTTATCCTTTCTGTTGAATTCGAATTTTTGATATCTTTGTTTTGTGTATAAATAGGTCGTAATGCATCTGCTATGGCCTCCGCTGTGTCTGCTGTCTCGTAGACCTTTGTTGCTCGAATGTTTCCGGTTTATTTTGTTGTAGCGATTGGTGAGATTTTTTGCGACTGTATTGTAATATTGCCAGGATTGATATTTAATATTTTATACGAAAAATTAATCTAGCTAGGATAGTGCCGAAAGAGTTCATTTCAATGTTTGATCAATTTTCTTAGAAATTCAAATTGATGAGGAATGAAATAGCATTTATTCAAAAAAATTAAATAAATAATAAAATTTTTAATTTTGAACAGAATGGTATTTTTCAAATCCGGTACATTTAAAGGTACAAGACTTACATTCCCAAGTTGATGTGCTTCTTTTCCGGCCCTTACAATTAGAGCATACTTTGCATATACTGGATGGTTTTGCTTTATTTGTTGTTAGTGGATGTCTAGGGAAATGTGTTCAATTTTTTGCTGTGGTCGTAATGGAGAGTATCAACTGTAAATGGTCTTCCGCGGACCTAATAAATGGCAACTTGATAGTGCTCAATATTTAATAATTTCTTTAAGATATATTTGTTAAAATAAAAATGTGTAACTGGATATTTGCAGCTATGTAAGAAGTTATTTGACCTTTTATAATACCCATGAATTGAATATAAATTCCGCAATGTAAACACAATATTCTTGCAATCGCACTGAGATGGCACTTGTACATCGTCACAAACTATACACATTATTCCCGGGAAAGAGGTTAACTCTAAAATACAAAATAAGTAATCGGTAACGGTATGATATATTTCAAAGCATTATGGTACATGTACATGTAGGAGAACTTTACGTTTTTTGCATTTTCACGTTGTTTCTTTGCGTATTTTATTATTGTTACAAACTGCACAACGTTTTGACGGTCTTAGTTTAGATAGTGTTGGATCAATATGCTTTTGGAAAATGACCTCATTTCTTCGCAAAAAGTCTATCTGGCGCCTCTGCGAAAGATAATACGCCTCCTTCTCTGTAAGTCGGTTTTGGCGTGTTCTTTAATAAATCAACAGCTATTTTGATCATAGTCGACATAACATTGTTTCTTTCCGTGATTCAGTTTTTCCATAAGATATAAGAATTTAAACGGCCAATATCAAACAGATAAAAAAAATACATATTCTTTCGTGTATTTCCTCATTATTGGAAAACATGCTAATATTTGATCTTGGAGATCAATTCCATTCATTCCCTTATTGTACTCTTGTGAAATTATTTCGGCTGTTTCATGTTTTGCCGACTACATATAAACATCTCGCCTATCTTTCTATTTTAGAGCGAGTATTAAAAGTAGTCTAAAGAGCCGCACTGGTAGGCAATAGAAAATTAAAAATTATTTTCACTTTTTCATGTATTAACAGATATTTTTTCCACGTCATTTGTTATGAACAACAGACAAGATCAGTGTGAATAGAATCATGTAAAACTTTTTCCATGTTTTCATCTCTTCATTTCCATCTCTCATGTTTCAGACAAAAAATTAGTTTGAAGAAAGGGGCCACTTTCACATGTTTTCAATGATACCTCGGCCAAATGATGAGTTCGGGAGTTGAATTTTTTTTTATTGTATTTTGTCGTAAAGACCTATAAAATGGCATCATAATCATTAAAATACCAGGATGGGGTTGATTCTGTATAGAAACTCGCTCATGCCATTTCTTTCCATTTAGTTCTTTTAGTATGATCTCTTTACTGACTTAATATATAGTTATTACCCCTATCGTTCAATATTAGTGGGAGATCTGCAATTATTTTGGCACATTTCAGACTTTTTTCCTGCATATTTGTTTGTTTCATATAAATAATTATGTTTAGTAAACCCTCTAAACATGTTACAACTACTTCTAAGAGAAAAACTGCTTAAAAAATCGATGTACAATTATTTGTAATGAACCTCAAAATTCTTGGCATTGATACAAGTAAATGTATCAATTATGACTAAATTATTAAGCTGTATAAAAATTTATATCAGAATTATACAATCAGATGCAAGTAATTTGAATTATGCATTTAAAAAAAAATTGTCACTCATAATCGAAGGCCCATAAATATTATTAACCATTATACTGTTATTTCATCGTTTCTCGCAGGAAATACATAATTATTACATTTTTTCTTGTATTTATGGAAAGCTGTGGTCCATATGTAATATATTTTATTTATAATAAAATAGTAACAACACTATGTGTAATCATATTTATCATTTATAAAATGTAGTTAGTATTTGTGTATTTGCAATAAAAAGGAAAAGTGTTATGAATTATAATTTTGGCAATTCGACTTAAGAGAAACAAGCGAGAGATCCGAACTGACACTTGCACTTTTGATTCGCGCAGTGCTGTCACTATGATGAGCCCAAAATAATGTCTATCTGTCAAGTTGAGATACGATGTGTGTTGACAGGTCGCTACATATTTCTGCATTGTTTGTTATATTATCAAGGTTTAAGGCTGACACTAATCATTTATCAGGACATTTAGCACTACGACGCCATTTATTTTATTTTGTACTGGAATATTCGATCTTAACAAAAATGAGCGCGATCGTTGAGAGCGGCTCTAACTAAAAACGCAGGTACTGACGTTTGTTCGGAGATTGACTCATCGGCCATGACCCTACTACTTTTTATTATCTTTAATCTCATCAAACTCAACCACTGCGTATCTTTTGATAGTTTCCGTTTTTAAATTTCTAAGGTTTAAAATTAGCACAATATCCCGAGAGTAATTAAAAAATGTTTGCTTAAGCACGTTACACTTACGATTGATTCATTAATGGGTCGATTCTTGGCTTCAATTTTACAGCAAGGTCACACTTATTTGTGCAACACTTTTTTTATTGATTTATTTTGCCTTCGACCGTTAGGTCATTTCGCAACATTTACATATTTTGGTATACATTATACAATACAGTTCAATAATCTTGTTATTACATAAACACTATAGAACCTAATTTATGATATAAACTTACATAGCTACATACAATATATATATATCAAATCTTGATTTTGCAATTATGTAGAAAATTCAGTATAATTTTGTAAATATTGGGTTTGTTCAAAGTCATAGCAATTGCCGTGTTAATGGGGAAAGTTATATTGTTCCTATATAGTTCTTGCAGAAGTTCTTCTCTTTGTTTTGATAATAGGCAGCATTTCCAAAGGATGTGGTCTATTGTTTGAAATTCTCGTCCACAGGAACAGAAGGTATCTTGTGTTCGTCCAATTTTGTATAAATGAAATCTACAAAATGTGTGAGCGCATCTAATTCTATTTATCATGGAAATGTCTTCTCAGGTCATTTTTAGTTTGCTGCACCAGGTACTAAATGTGACTTGGGGTTTGCAGGGTTTAAATAAAGAGCCCTTTGAAGTCGATTCTAGGTCATAATCGTTTTGCCATTGACTTAGTCCTAGAGTTCTTATTAATCCTTTTAAATCCGTTATTGGGGCCTTTTTCATGGGAACTACCGCCGTGCATGCTTCTTTAGCCAGTTTGTCTGCCCGTTTATTTCCCCAAATTGAGGAATGGCCTTTAATCCAGGCTAACTTAATTATATATCCAGAATCCAGGAGGGCTTCTATTTTGTGAATGATATCAAGAGTCAAGAAATTTCCATCTTCTCTTGGTTTGTTCAGGGCCAAAAGGGCGGATTTGCAGTATCTTAAAATTATTGATTTTCTGAGCTTTTCATTTTTAACGTACTCTAAAGCCGCATTGATGGCTGTTTTCTCTGCTGTAAATACCGATGCAAAGCTAGGTAACTTGTATTGAGATCGATTATCTTTGGAAGGAACAAAAAACGCGCAGCCGACGTCGTTTTCCTTTCTGGATCCGTCTGTGTAAATAACTGTAAAGTCTTTGTAATTGTGTTGTAACCATTCTTCAAATTCTAGGTTTTTAATATGATTTTGATATTGCAATATAAGGTTCCTGACACCAAGAGATTTAATTCTTGGAAAAAGAGTATTTCTGTGGGAATAGAAAAGCTGGAAGTTTACTGTTTGTATAAGTCATATCTTCCAAGGGTTTGATGCAGTAGAAAGCCGTTATCAGAGAGAGAGTAGGTTTATTCTTCCAGTAAATCATTTTATAGTGCAGCTCAGCTAATGTCTGTAGTTATTTTATAAAGAACGTGTAATCTGAGTTAAACTTTTTAATTACGAACCTGTTCGTAAGTATTTCTCTTCTAATTTTTAGTGGGGATTCGCCAGCTTCCACTAGAAGGGAGTTGCAATGTGTTGACCTTATAACCCCCAGACATAATCTTAATGCTGAGAATTGCACCTTGTCTAAGGTATACTGATTCTTAGAAGATAATCCTCCATAAATCTAACATCCATAATCAATATGAGATCTTACGATGGCTTTGTATACGGATATAAGGGAGGTCGGATGTGCTCCCCATCTTGTTCCTGATAGTCTTTTAATAATATTGATTTTCCGATTTTTTACCACTTCTCTGAGGTGTGTCTGGAAGGACATGTTTTTACCGAAGGTTACTCCTAGAATTTTTATACTGTCACATAATTTGACCTGCAAATTGCCTATGTTTAAGACGAGAGAGTTCAATAAATTTCTATGTCTGCTAAAGATGATCGCTTTTGATTTGGTTGGAGATAGACTTAAATTATTAGCGTTAAGCCACGTTGATACTTTAATAAGAGAGTCTTGGATTTTATTTTTGCATTCTTCCATTGAAGCAGAGGAGCAATATATAAATATGTCATCAGCATATTGGAGTATTTTAACTCCATTTAGTATTTGTGTGTTAAGGTCATACATATAAATATTGAACAGTAAAGAACTCAAAATTGAGCCTTGTAGTAGACCCGTTGAAATAACTCTTCAATAATCTTATTTTTGAATTTAATGTAAATTGCCCTGTTATCTAACAGTGACATGATAACCTTTGTAATTTTATGTGGAAGGTTCATACTATTTAATTTTTGTATCAATATATTGTATTCCACATAGTCATATGCCTTGTGGATATCTGCGGCTATTAATAGTAAGTATCCATTCCTTGAGTTTGAGATGTGTATATCATTCGATAATACACTCAGTAGGTCAATTGTACTACGTCCACGCCTAAAACCCATCTGGCAATCATTTAATAGAGATTTATTTTCTGCATAGTATTGAAGTCTTCTTTTCAGTAAGTCTTCGAAAGTTTTATGTAAGCACGGTAATAGAGCAATAGGTCGGTATGATTCTACATGTCTTGGATATTTCTGAGGTTTTAAAATTGGTATTTTTTTTTTTTTTTTATTTCCATCTAAATTACAACTGCCTGAGAAGGCATTCAGTAATTGTTGTGATTAGTTATTAAATAAGTTTTTAAAATACTACCCATTGGTAGTATTTTAAGTTAGTATAATAAATATAAATATGTGACAATAATTGCAAGCAGATAATAAATATAAATATGTGAGAATAATTACAAGCACTATACTAGATATATAACTATGCTAAGTCTAGTGGATCTAATCTTCTTAGTCTCTTGACAGTGTTCGCAGAAAGTAGGTCCTTTGCTAGTTCATTTGGATGGTTCTCCAATCTTGACTTATATTTTGCAGCAAATCTGCTAATTTCTTCCGCTATTGTTTGTATGTTGCAGTCCTGATAAACGAGCCAATTAGGTACATACCTGGGAGCCTCCAGTATTTTTTTAAGGATCTTGTTTTGAGCTCTCTGTAAGATGTTTATATTAGATCGACTGGCACTACCCCAGAGTGAAATGCCGTAAGTCCAGATTGGTTTTAAGACGACTTTGTATACAAGAAGCTTGTTGTAGGTGGATAGTTTGGACTTCGGACCCAACAGCCAGTAAAGTTTTTTAAAATTCTCTTCAAGCTGGAAACGTTTTTTCATTATGTGATTTTTCCACGTAAGCCTTCTGTCCAAGTGAAACCCCAGGTATTTTACATGTTCAACCTGAGGTAGTTGAGCTCCATTGATAGAGACGGGCGGACATGTTTCCCTTCTTAACGCGAAGGTGATGTGAGATGATTTTCGATTGTTAATTTCAAGTCGCCAAAATTTGTGCCACATTTCTACTAAATTTAGATGCTGTTGCAGGGCGTTAGACGCAGCTGTAGGGCATTCGTGTTTCGATAGAATACAGATATCATCTGCAAAAGTGGCGATGTTGGTGTCAGCTGTGGTAGGCATGTCTGAAGTAAATAATAAAAATAATGTGGGACCCAAAACGCTTCCTTGTGGTACGCCTGAGTTTATTTGCTTCAGAGGAGAGTTGCAATGTGATATATTAATAAAAAACTGTCGGTTTGCCAGGTATGATTGAAGTAGTCGGTATAAATTAGCTGGAAGGTTTGTTTTTATCTTGTAGAGGAGACCGGTGTGCCACACCTTATCAAAAGCCTGTGAGACATCTAGAAATGCGGCTGAGCAATATTTTTTTTCTTGTAAAGCTGAGTTGATTTCCTGGACTACTCTGTGAGTTTGTTCGATTGTTGAGTGGAGTTTCCTAAAGCCGAATTGATATTGCGGAATTGTGTTCTTGTCACTCAAAATTGCATGGATCTTCTTAAGCAGTAATTTTTCAAAAATTTTAGACAAGATGGGTAGTAAGCTAATTGGCCTGTAGGATTCCATCAGAGTGGGATCTTTACCAGGTTTTGGTATTAAAATTATTTTTGCAATTTTCCAGGCACACGGAAATACTTTTAGTCTGATAATGGAGTTGAACAGAATGGTTAGAAATCTCAAGGCTTTTTGTGGGAGTTGTTTCAGCATATGTATCGTGATACGATCATGCCCAGGGGCTTTGCCTGATTTTGACTTCGTTATTTCAAGTGCTACTTCAGAAAGAGTAAAACGAGTGTCTGAATGGTCGCCGTATGTTGAAGAATCTTTTAGATTATTGTGAATAAACTCTTCATCTTGGGTGCTGCATTGCTGCGGCAGAGGGTGAAAAATTTGTTCGAAAAAGTTGGCAAACGAGTTGACTTTATCCTGTTCATTTTTGACCCATGTGTTGTTTCCTTCTTTAATAGCTGGAACAGGAATAATTGGTTGTTTAAAATTTCTGGTGACTTTCCAGAGTGAGTAGTTTGTGTCTGAAGTAGCTGATAGATTTTTCAGTTTGGTTTCAAAGATCTTGTTGTTGTGTTCTCGAAGACAGGTTTTTAGTTCTTTGCAAGCTTTGTTTAATTTTGATTTGTCCATGGGTGATCTTGTGAGTTGCCATTGTTTCCGAAGTCTTCTTTTAATAGCCACTTTTTCTTTTATTTGTATTGGATAATCAATGTTGTAATTATTGATCGGCGTGGGAGTTGAAATTAGAGCAGATCGTTGAAGAGATGTTGTTAGCAGGTCAACAGCAGCGTTGAGGTCACTCTCAGATTTTAATGGTATGTTGCAATTTAGATTGTTGTCTAAATACTCTCTAAATTTGTTCCAGCATGTAAACTTAGTAGTCAAGTATTTATTTAGATTGTTGATGGGTTTATGATTGAGTATATTTAAGAAAACGGGAGAGTGGTCGGAGTTTAAGTCCAGACATGTCGAAGATTTCAGCGAATCTCTTGGAAAACCTCTGGTGATGTAGAAATCCAGCAAATCTGGTATTCTTTGAAGATCAGATGGCCAGTAGGTTGGCTCGCCAGTAGATATGGGTAGTAGACTGAGTGATGCAACCGTATTGTAAAGTTCGCGTCCTCTGGGGTTTATGAGCCTTGATCCCCAGTACGTGTGCTTGGAATTGAAGTCGCCTCCAACAAGAAATGTGTTGCCCAGCGCGTTGAAAAATGACTCAAATTGGCTTTTCAGGATGGTGTGTCTGGGGGGGCAATAGATTGATGATATAGTTATAAATTTATGAAGAAATTGTACGGAAATGTTTGTAGCCTGTAGAAAATGTTCACAAAAAGGTTCCATGATGTGGTGATTTATATTTGATTTTATTATTATTGCTGTCCCACCGTGAGCTTTATCGTCAGGGTGATTTGTATTATAGATGGAGTATTGAGGTATCGTTATATAACTTCTGCTTGTGAAGTGTGTCTCTGAAATGAGAAGTATGTCTATGTTGTGTTGTATAATGAAATGTTTAACTTCTTGTAAGTGCTGTATTAAACCATTGGCGTTCCATGTGCAAATTTTGAAATTTGTGTCCATTATTTGTTATTGGGAAGAACGGTTGTCAGAAGTTTGAGCATGATGCCTATTTGGTCAACTAAGGTCTTTATCATAGATTTTAATTCATGTATGTCATTTTGATAACTTACATTTGTTTGATTGATGTTTGTAGATGATTCATGTTCTTGAGGATTTTGATGATTATTTGCGTTTTGTTGGTTGTTAACTATTTGAGAAAAGGAAACATTTGGCCGTATTAGTGATGGTCTGCTACTTGTAGTAGGTTGTTGTGAGATTTCTTTTGTCCTTAGTGGTGGGAATCGCCGATGCTTTTCTGCTTGATATATTGGGCACCCTTTATAATTAGCTGGATGGTTTGAATCGCACAATGCACACCTTACGTTACTGTTAATTGGGTCCTTCCATGAGCAATCTGAAGTGAAATGATTACCGGCACATTTTACGCAACGTGGATCTTTTGTACAATAGTTTCTAGTATGTCCTAGACATTGGCACCTGCTGCATTGAGGAACTTCTCGAGGATGGCGCATGGGTTCGATTATAACTTTTGTTTTGTATAAAAATTCAGTTGCGTATATTTTATTATTGTTTTTGTCTTGCTGCAGTTTGACAACGAATATGTTTAGCGGAAGTTTAGTAGTACGCTGTCTTAGGTTGTAAATTCGTATGACCTTATGCCCAAGATCTGAGATTTCTTTTGACAAGATTTCGATGTCTGTACTGTGGTGAAGATTTTTGATTACAATTTTAAATGCCCTTTTTGTTTTTTCCTGGTATGAGTGAAGTTGAGTACCTTTGTCTTTCAATAATTTGAGGACAGTATTGTATGTGTGGGAATCCTTAGTATTAATTTTAACTTCCTTCAAACCAACGGTCTTGTATGAATAGAGTTTCTGAACATTATTTTCTAGCAGTTCTATTAGAGGTTTTATATCATTGACCCCATGTACAAAAATCGGAGGCGGAGTTACAACTTTTTCCACTGGAGGCGCTGAAGTTGAAGGCTGTTCGTCCATTTTGTCGTTTTCCGGAGCAACTGATTGTAATACATTATAATAGTTCTTGGTTGGTATCGGATCTAACCAATAATTTTTTGTGGTTGCCTTTTTTGTGACATTAGCGGTTTGTGCAGGTTCATTTTGCTGTCTTTTTTTACTCATGGCCAGTTTCCCCTCTTGATATTGCGCGTTGAAACGCATGTCCCTGAAAGTTACTGGATATGGTTTGTGCGATTGCAGATTATTGTCACTTGGAAGCATTTCGATATCTTCTGACGTTTGCGAAGAAGTTCGCTGTTGATTCATTTGTGGTAGAATATGCGTTTCGACAAATTCTGCGTTAGTTGTAGAATCATCTTGTAG